TTTCCTAATGGAGTTCTACCCCTAGAATAAATCAATTCCACAACAGCAGGCATGGTTAGAGAAGAACTTTTCATGTTCTAGCTATTGCTTGTGGATTGTTGTAAATAAACAAATCTCTCTTTTACTGAGGTGAAATAATGATACTGAAAGAGATATATTAATGAAGCAACCGTGATACACCAAATATTTTATGGGCTGTTGCCCGGACATTATATGTTTTTATATATAATTACCCTCAATGAAATTAACGAAGAATGTTTAATTAACATAATACACTAGAGCATAAGATAATTAATGTTTCTTATCATAAATTTGTCAAATAGAAACAATGATGCTGTAAAAGATGACATGCTGGTAGATTTTTCTCAAGCTTAGTAACTTTTTCAGCAACTTTACTTCATATCTTACCCCACTAAAGTTAGTAAGTCCATTTCTGAATTCCTAGTTGGGTAGAATAATGGTTTCAGAATCTAGATGGATAATCTTTTTGCCTGTACCTAGCAGTGCAAGAGCTGAAGAATGAAACATTGCCTTCTTTGCTTGGACCAATGGCTTATCAAAATCAGTACAAAGTATGGAAGCACTGTGATTTAAAAAAAACCAAACCTCCTCTCCTGTTTCTTAGTTAATACAATATACTGTGATGGAGAATGTTGGCCTTGATGTGCATTTATCAGATGCCTTCAATGAGCTGTCCAAAATGAAACCAAGCTCAGCTGCTTTGCCTCTGTGCTACTCCAGCTCTATGTGTATTGAAAACATTGGAGCTATGCTAATAATAAATTAGAACAAAATAGAGATAAATCATACACTTCATTTCTTGCTGAAATGATGACAAGGAGTTTCTCTTTGATGTTATTATTTTTGCACTAGTTGATATGAAAGTATTGTTAACTGGATTTACAACACAGATTAAAATTAGTTGCCTAACTCCATTTCTGCTGACAAGCTTAATAACAACATGCTTATATAAAGTAAACTATGATGATCATATAATCAGCTACATACAGGCATAGCTCCAACTGCATAGCTATAGACTTTGCAAAGATTTAGATACAAGCTTAAAGTCCATGCTTAACTGCTTTGTCAGTCTGTCTCTCCTTCTCTTGTTGCTTTTAACTTCATACAAAAGCTATGAAATTTAGCTTATGCTGACATATGAATGTTCAGCTATTTCTTTATGTACTTCGTACCCAAACCTGTGGTTTTTTACTCTTGTTTCAAGCCCAAATACAAGACTACATCCACTATGACCTCTATAGTGGTATGCCCTGGGTGTGAGCATGCATATTTATCTGTTCTCAAAGGCAATGCATGTGCCTCATCTAACCAAAACTCCTCTAATCAGGTGGACAGCATTTAAGCATAAATCCTTTTCCAATGAAACTGTCCCCAAACTCATGCTTTTTGCAGTAAATGTAAATGGAGTTCTCTTGTGGCTTTTGTTTTAAATCACTTACTGCTTATCACAGTTATTGATACCTGGTTTTCATTGTATTTTAAAATGTTTACAGCAAAATATCGCATTAGTAATAGTAGCAAAGATTTAGAAAGCAAATTGCACAAGAGCTATTTTATAGCCTGAGACTGTCATCTCATATACAAAATATAAGCTCATACACAAAGGAAGGGTGATAAATCATGGCTTTAGGCAGTGGCTTTAATAAACAGTATAGGTTTTTTTAATACTTAAAAAAGCTAAGGTTTTACTAGAAATGTAACCTCATGTTTGTGTTTTATGTGCATTCTTCCCCAAAATATCATTCATCTTCAATAAGATTTAGTCAGGCTCATATGCTTGACCAAACTAATGAGGGAGATATTAGACTGTCTAGAGAGCTATGGATATATTTAAATAAATAGATTTGTTAAGTGCTCCAATTGTCTTAAAAATCAGGAGCCAAGTGACAATATTGGCATAGGTTAGAATGATAATAAAAAGTACTTTAAGTACACATTTCCTTAAATTTAGTTCCTAAAACTTGACAGTGTCCATGTGTCTCTTCAGGTTTTTAGTATTCGCTATATGTACTGTAGCTTTCCCTGGCATATGCGTCCTGTAAGGCAAGGGACAACAGCATCAAGAAGTAAACATCTGACTATGTCACAAATCCAGTTAACTCTGACAAGGGCAGTAAAGCCAAGTGAGTAACAAGGCAGTGCTGTCTGGAAGCAGCTTTGTATTTCAGATCCTACTGGAGATGGTAGGACACCAGCTGGACAAAGCAAAAATACTGAGAGCAGCTGAATTTTCTGAATCCACTAAGACCATCTTATACCCTGATGAGGTCACAGCACTACAGCGTTTTCAAGTGTCAGATCTCATCTCTTCACTGTTTCTAAGGAGCAGACAGGAGGAGGGAAGCATTCCCCTCACAGAATGTAAACTATGCGCTAATGTCATGACAAGGTAATGCAGTGAAGCAGAAACTGCAGTTAAGATCACACAGCCTCTCCTCAGCCACCACTACGGTGTTTGGTTATGATAATAACCTTCGGTAGATTTCAGTGCCATCATCCTCAGGCAGAAATTCTGGTGATTGTCTAATCCTAGGATCTAAGCATGTTAAAAGTAGCTTTCCTCTTTCTAGCTCTTGACACATGGAGTTATGCCATGTCCCAGTTAATGAAGCTGAATAATTAAATAATTGCTTTACTGGTCTGCTACATTCACTCATGTTTGAGACTCAAAAATGTGCATGAATTTCTCAAGTATAGCAATGTCAATCTCGTGATACTCCTTTGGCAAAATTATTTTGTATTTATCTTGAGAAGAGAATCCATTCCTTGGCCTTCTGACTAGAAATAGAAAGTCTTCCCCTACATGTTTCTGTGTAGAAGAGAAATACCTACTCTGTTTACTTTATCTATGTAACTCAAACAACACTCTTACACTTGCAAGTTGCACAGCTTTCTCTCCTCACTGAAAACTATTTCACAATCATGCAGTACCCTCAAGTAAAATGCTCACTTTCCATTTAATTTTGAGTAATGGAAGAAATTTTTAGGCCCATAAAGGATTACAAAATATTCGACATTATTGCTGTTAATTGTCGACGTTATTTGCAACTCATAATAATTTACTTTTCTAGTTGCCAGAACAGTCAAACATACTGTTTATTAGCTTTAATATGTGCCCTAAAACTGAAGAAAACAGCTATCCTCAACTTTGGGATAGAGGAAGGAATGTTTATATGGGAAAAAGCATGGGAACTGGGCTTAGCTCATATCTCACAGCAAATCGGTTGAAAATTTCCCAGCACTTTTCTAATCTCTCTATTTCATTGAAACTGAAGTTACAATTATATTAACTTCAGCAAAATTTTCCAAAGGGAGATTTCTCAGCGTTAGAATGGGATTTCTGGTCTAGAAACCAGAAACAAATACAGTGATGCAGCGGTTAGGTTATTGAATTACTAACTTTAGAGTAGGGAGCCGAAAGTTTCCCCTCTCCTAATTCCATGTTTGTATGCACTGCATCTCTTATTTTTTTTCCCTGCAACTTGAAGAGACCCAAGTTTTGTTCTCATATAGAGGCCAAAAAAAATAAAAGCTTCAGCAAGTCTGTAGTGCCAGTTTTCTAGTTTACCTTAGTGTTAGTCCCATATTTCCTGACTCTGAGAATTTAAAGTGGGGTGAGATGGATAAATTTAACTGTCCAGATGGTCTCTAAGGTCAGGGAAAGGAGCAACCAAAGAATAAATAATGTTCAAGATTCCTTCTACAGAAAATTAAAAATATCATCATGCTTCTATATTTTTCTGACTGCATTTAAACGTGATCTTCTTGCTACAACTTTGAACACAAATAGACTTCAGCAAATGGATATATGCTGTAGATGCAGCACATGCATATGCTGACATACAATTACCATATGTCAGTTCACAGTGATTCTCTAGCTCCTGAGACATGTAAATAATTCTGTGAATAGCACTCCATCTTTTCAACATCTTGGAACATATAACTATTTTCATTATGTTGCTCTTCTCCTTCCTTTGAGGCCATATGCATTTACAACTGACTTAGATTAGGCAGAAAGGACTGATAAAAAGAATGTAAAATAGCTTTGAAAGATTTCTACTACAGTCAAATATATTTGGAATTTGAAGAACCAACATGAACCTTTGAAACAAAATAAAATCTATATCTATCTGTATAAGCAAAGAAAACACTATAGGGATTGGAATTTTTGACCTGGATTCATCCAGGGTCATATACAATATTTATTTCATTCCTAGTATGTTACACAGCAAGTTAAAATTTAATTAAAAAAAAAAAACAAACAACCAACCAAACTCAAAAACAATGTCTTTAATCATGTAACATTAATACTGAGGTTTCAGCTTGAACTGGAGACTGCTGAGTCAGAGCCTTACACTCTCATACAGAGAACAGTGGTAGCTGCCAACGGGGTATTTCTTGTTGGTTTTCACAACAGACAAAGTAATAGGGTATCTTCATATGCTCTGCAGATGTGCAGTATGAAAGCGTTTAGATCAAGTTTTATAAAGGCCTACTTTGTTTTAGGCAAATAATAGATAAACAAACCACCTATCCCTTAAAAGCCAGCTCTGTCAGAATAATCTTAGCATCTTTCAGCAACTGCATGAAATAAAATACACTCTTGTGTTCTTAATTTACTAACAGTTTTGAAGGAAAAATAGTTTAAATTTATTTGAATACCTATAAGAACTTTAAAAAAGGAAGCATGATGAGAACATACACAAAGGTTCTACTGCACTGTGTGAAGGTAGAAAAACTGTACTGAATACTTTTTGTGGCTTTTGCACCACCTCATCTAGGCTTTTGCATCAGCTTACCTAGGCTTATCTAGGCTTCATCAGTTAAATACTTCATTTGTATCTTTAGAGAAAAAAGAATTGCTTTATACTTCTCCAAAGACAAATGGTATTTTTCTGAATGTCTGGAGAACTGCTGAAAATAAAAACTACCATAAACAAGTAATTAGTAAGAATTTACTTATATTTTCTGCTTTATAGATTATTCCTGCCTGGAGACATGACATAATTTCTGAATAAACTCCAGCTTCCTAACTGTTGCAGTACCAACGACATCAAGCATTAGACTTCCCTACAAAGTGTACGTCACCTTAGGCCAGCACAACAGGAAGAATTCTTTTGACTGGGCTGAAAGAACCAACATTTACTCAAAGCCTCTCATTCAACACAGGTACATTCACTTTCTATTTATGCATCTCCAGAATGGTCAAAGTGCTCTGCAATGTAGGAGGGCATGAAGTAGTGCTTGACATGTTGGACATAAACATGTATGTCATGCAGACATCCTGCTGTCATGAATACATCAGTTCCTGCTTGTGCTAAAAGGCACTGATGTGATCACAAAATGGGTTAGAGATCTTTTTGCTCTTAATTGTGTAACACTGGACATTTTTGCCCTCTGCAAATTAAGGATTGCGTCGTAAAAAAGGCTTTTGTGTCAATATGAGTGTTTAAAGTGGAAAACAAAGTTCCATAAGCTTTAGGCTAGCCACCTCTACAGGAAGGTAAACAACCCAAAATGTATGGTCATGCGTGTATGCTTTTCCTTCCACAACTACCTTGATAACCAGATTAATTGTAATTGGAAACACAATTTTCTTCTGGATGACACTGGAAGGGAAAAATGACAAATATGATATAAAACCTTTTTTTGTTTGTTTCTTACCCAAAGAAAGCCTTTCGTGGCACAATTTGGGTGATCCTGGACTTAAACCCACTAGCAGAAAAAGATAATGGTGCTATTATGGGAGCTAAATGGAGGGAAAATATGTAACAGTACTGTGTACAAGCAATATCCAAGCAGATCTAGAATAAGGGGGATGTAAGTGATGCCATGAAGGACTTATTTGTCAGATACTGTAATTTGAGGAAAAGATGAGCACCTCTTTTCAAAGGATAATAATAGAAATTTATGGAGTCTGTTGTGGCATCATTCCTCTAAATCCGTTATGCTCCATTGCTCACTGTGTTTGTCAGCCATACCCTTCTGCTCCCACAAGTTTTGTACCCACTTGTTCTCTTTCCACACCCGAGTGTTAATGGAGTCCTGCCTGCCAAGCTTGTCTCCCAGGCTCAGCATCTATTTGATTGTGAACAAAGCTTTCACAGGGTAAGTGCTGTCAGAAAGATGTTTCGCCCCTCTTTTTCACTTGTGAAAGCAAGGTGTAAAAAGGTATTTTCCTTCCACAAGCAATGCGTGTTCTAGCATCAGATGGAAGAACAGAATCTGAAACAAGTGTCAGTGTCACTTAGAAACTGCAGACATGAGAAAAATCAGAGGGCTTCCTTTGCCTGTCAGCAGAAGCCGATGTGAAATGTATCTGCATGAGACAGGGGAAAGCAGAACTTGCTGCTTCTTAGAAGTCCTGTGGTTGAGGAAGTTTTGTGAGATAGCTTTACTGCAGGGAGTTTCCAGATGTGTAAAGGAGGTCTGTGGTGCCCGGCCGATTCCCGCCTCATGCAAAGTAATTTCTGTGTGAGAATATACCAGAGAGTGAGAAACCTCAGCACCAGCAGTTTACGGTCAATCTACTGCTGCTGCTCCGAGTGAATTGATAAAGTAAACACAGCCTATGCTGGCTTAGTCACTGCTCACAAACTGAACAAAAACTGAAATGGTTTGTGATGTGTTATAATATTCCAGGAAAATATATTCTGTAGCACTCTGAAAGAAAAACCACTGTATTTAAATAAGCTTCACAGCAGTGTATGTTATTGAATTTGGAAGGCAGATTCAGAAAAGAGAATTAGCAAGCTGAGACTAATAGCTGCATTTGACATACTCGAAATTACAGTAGTTCACTTTAGGTAAGAACTCCATCTGTAAGGGGAGAAATAATACTTAAACATGCCTTACTTTATGGTGTAGTGCCACCTAAGGGTTAAGAGCTTTTAAACCTGAGAGTGGCTTCCTATGGGACAGGGCTTTGACCCAACCTGGTGTGCCCCTGGTCTGAAGGTGTCTGCCCATGACAGGGGATTGGAAGTAGATGAGGTTTAAGGTCTCTTCCAACCTTAACCGTTCTATAATTCTGTTAGTAGCAGAGAAAGTCTTTCTCACATTATTAAATCGTTTGTATTTTGGAACTTACTTGGCAAAGAGCTGCTAAGATTTCCATGTTGTTACATCTGGCAGAATTGTAACTTTCCCAGTTCCCGTTGGAGCTGGCTGTGCTCTTCTGTCTCTTCAGTAGTCTGTCAGATTCGGGATGTTGCAAATCCTGATTTTCTCCCCTGCTAATCAGGTCTTGCGTGATCAGTGAAGAAGAGGTTATCTACATCTACTGCTACAAGGCAGGGTAGGATATTGCTGCCTTGCTGGCATTGAGTCTGCAAGGACTTAGAGCCAGGAAAATTTGCTTTGTGAGGCCAAAATCAGAGAGGAAACCCTGGCCTGCTTCTACTTACTCTAGTTTACTAAAGGAAGGTACTTTAGGGATGAGATGAGGGAGGGATGAGATGCTGTGATTACCCTCTGCCTGTGGGCAGATGTGCTTTATTCCTCCTCAAAATTCCCCACTCATCAGCTTGCACATCGCAAATTACAGTTTGCTCCTTTGGGCTTCTTTTGATTTAGCCTAGAAATGGGCAAAAGAAAAACATAGATAACCTGCCCATCTCTGTACCATGTTTGTTTCTTCAAACTGAGTTTGGGGCTGAAAGCCTGAATTGTGGTCACTTCTTTTTTTTTTCCTGACAAAACCAAAACTCCAAGAGAGGTAATACTTCAGAAGTAGGGTTTTTCCACACTTTTTTATTCTCAAATGGTATTTCATTTTGTACTGTATCTTCCACAGCGGATGGCGTACCTGCCTTGCTGAAACTGGAGATGCTTTCTGTGATGTGGTCAGGAAACTCTCTCATCTGTCCTAGGAGGAAGCTAATGATGGATTCACAGTATTTTTGAAGGAAAAATGTTCACACTTTTGATTGCATGACTGTATGCTTCAACTGTCATAAAGGGCAGTTTCTTCCCTTCCTTCTGTGCCCTCAACACACACAAGCAACTAAGATTTGAGTATTAATATGAGGAAAGACCTGATTTTATTTGTGTTAAGTTCCTTTCTTGAGATCATCGCACTGAAAAGAAAACCAAAAAAAAAAAAACCCAAAAAAAACCAACAACAAAAAAAAGCCAGCTGACAAGAATTGTTTTGTCTGTCACTTAGAAATGGGGAAAAAAGTATTTTGAAACTGCAAGACACAAACTTGGCAAAATGATGCTGGAAGAAATACCAAGCATTGCTGTAAGTGCCCCTCAGGTAAACAAGCCCTGTGGCAAAATTGTAGCACAATGGCCAAAGCAAACTCTTAAGACTGTCCTCTTGATGTCATGATGTAGAAGAGGGGAGGAGCTGGATATCAGGGCTGCCATAATTGAAACTGAATGAACTTTGACAAGATTGTTAAAGAAAAGCTACGGTAGGGAATAGTAAATGCATGGTGGTGTGGCACACTCCGGAAAAAGCAGACTGCTGCTTAGATACTGATGATAAACACTGTGACAAGCCCAAGAGAGCGGGAGACAGACATTCACATCAGCTTCATGTTAGGCACCTTTTGTTCAGGGGGGGGTTTTGGTGACTGTCTTGTTTTCATAAAGTCAGAGAGAATATGCAGTTACAGAAGTAGTACAGTGCTTTTATATATATATATATATGTTCTATTGCTTACCAAAACACAAGTTTTTACATATATGTATGTGTATATAAATACACATATAAATAAATAATTACACTAGTAAATACATACACATGAGAAAACTTGCTATTGCAACTTTAAGGGCACTTATTTTCTAATACAGATACAGGTTAATGTCTGGGTCAGCAGATGTTTTATTAGAAAACATACAACAAATTCAGAGACTTGGAATAAGGATTATCTCCTGTGTATGTGTAAAGGAAATGCTGAAGATTGCAGTAATGTGAAGAGGAATTGGGGAAGTGGTGATGAATGGAAGTCATTAGATATGATTTGGAATGTTCAGAATTTAAATTACAAAATAAAAAGAATGATCCTGCTCTTGAAGTTCCTGAAATAATGTTTTTGGAATATGCATTTTATAGGGCCTGATTCATTCAAAAAGCCCTGATGGTTTAGAGGCCATCAAAGCTGGTGTGTCTGTCTAAAAGTATGTTTCTTTCTTTCCAACTGTATCCTTCTGCTAAACAAAGTATTCCCATTCCTTACAAATCTTGGCAGTTAACTGTCCTTGTGTCAGCAGCTTGACTTCAAGCGGCGGAAACACAGAGCACCTTTTAGTGCCTGAGAGAGGAGACTTCGGGGACGCTTCCCCATCACCTCAGCCCACCCCCTGTGGTATGTGTGATCAGAATGGGGGATCAAGAGAGAAAGTGGTTCCTCCAGATTCGTCCAGAGTCTGTACCCAAGAGTTGTAGCAATATGTGGCTGCTGGGCCTACGAAGACTCATCTAAGAAAAGGTGAGCACTTAAATCCTATATATAGTGTATCCAAAATACTATATATAGTATATTCGAGTCGTTATAAACACTTAAGAATCTTTACAATGCTACCAATGTAATTTATCTGATGCCTGGTACTTCAATGACAAAGATAATGGCAATAACATGCTGTCATCTTCACTCTGGTGAGGGTTACTTTGTCCCTCAGCACACAGAGCTGCAAGGACCCCTCGGACTGGCGGTATGAATCTGGGGTTCGCGGGGGGCTGGACAAATGCTCAGCGCCCAGCCACTTCTCGGGCTGGAACTCGGGCTGCAGGCGCAAGACCACCGACGGTGGTGGCAAGCACCTTAACGACACTTAACACAGTCCAGCCAGGTTGATAACCCACATTAAACTAGTATTTGGAAGGTTTCCCCGTCACCAGCCGGTAACACCTGAAGGAAGCCCCGGTTCACCGCTACCGACACTAGCTGCTCCTAAGGGGATCCCGGCACGTCCGAACCGGGTGCATTCTTGAACAAAATACGTTCGAAACAGCGGCCGACACCTGCCCCTCAACCCAGTGTGGGGGAAGGACCGGAAAGCACCTACACAGAAGTGCCCATTGCCCTCCACAAAGAACCCTACCCATCCGGCATACCACAACCACCAACATGCCCCCGGTGGACCCCAGGACGGGACGCAGCGCGCATGCGCCCCCCTCTCTCCCCGCAGGAAGCGTTTCGGCGTCATGACGTCAGTTGCGCGGTCCCCCGGCAACGGCCGTATGTCGCGCGGCAGCAAGGAACCCGGAAGCTGCGGGCGAATAGGAGCGAGCGGCGCAGGCAGCGGGGCGGGCTCCGCGGGCGGAGGGTGGCAGCGGTAAAGTAGTCCCGCTGGGGATAGCGGCTGGTTGGCGGTAGTGTGGTCGGTGCTTGGTATTGCAGTGTGCGGGAGGGACTCTCGGCGCTGTTCGGGCCACACGGCTGCACCGCGCAGCGGGGGAGATGGCAGCCGACAAGACTGCGGGTGAGTGTGAGGGGAGCCACCGCGGTCCCCCGTGCCCGCCGCTGGCCTGGGCCGCCTGGTGCGGAAGGATACGTTCCCGCGCGGGTGGGGAGGAGGTTGAGCTGCGGTTCGTCCTGGTCGGAAGGAGAAACGACTGCATGCCGTGTGTTGTGTTGTTTCCTTCCGCCGAAGAAGTAGTGCCCCACTGCGGCCGGGCTGCTGGTGGCTGGTACGAAGTGCCGGCGATCCCCGCCACCCATAGGCCTGTGTCATGTCGGATCCGTGTGGGGGCGGAACTCTCCGTGCCCTCCGCCTGGAAGGAGTCGATGAGGAGAGAACGTGGGAGTGGGTTTCGGTGTCTCCCAGAGCTTAGTAACTGCTGCAGGAGTCGAGTTCTGGGTTAATTTGTTAAACTGGGGCATTCGGGAGGTGCTGGGGAAATGCGAATGCTTTGTGCTGCTACGTTCTCTCTGGAGCTGACTCTGCTTCCCTCTGAGTTGATGCATTGGTTTCAGGGGATGAGCGAGTCTTCCCTAAACTCAGGCCTGAAAACACACCGTAGAGAGATCACCAGAATTAAAAAGAATAAATCATCTGGTAAATACCCTCAGTAAATCTCAAGAACAGTTGCTATGTAACTCATTAGCGTTGATACTGTTTACCTGTGTCCCTAAGACTGCCCTTCATGCAGGAAGACCTCTTTGCGGGAAAGATTATTTAAAAATGCCGTAAGTGTGTTGTTGGTTTTTTTTCTTCCGGATGCTGAATACAAAACTCCTCAGTATCTGGAAAAGCTTGTGGGAAAAACTAGTGTACTGCACTGACTGATGCATACTAAACAATCCTGTGTTTGTTTGTAAGTACTGTAAGCATCTCCAAAACTACAAGAGAAAGAAATTGACATTAGGCTTTTTATGTTTTGTTGTTGTCCTAGAAGTGTTGAAGGAACTTTTCAATTGTACTTCCTTAATAGAAAAGTATGTGCCCAAGTGAACCAAAGCTTGTGAGCTATGGCAAGACTTTCTACATACTGAACTTGTTCATAGCAGTGAATTACAAGGAACTTTCCACTGAGAAGTGTTTGCTTTTTTTGTTATAAAGCACTGAGGAATTCTGTTATATTTATACTAATAGTACAGTGCTTCATAGAAAAATGTAGTTTTGGTGCCAGAAGCTGTCATTATCTTATAGAGGCTGGTTGGTCTTCATACCCTTCAAAATGCTTTTGGAGCAAGAGTTACGAAATAGATTTCCCCACTTCCAAGGGAGATATTATCCCTCTGCCTGTAGAGTTTGGAAATAAAAATAATTCCAGAAAAAGAATTCCAGAGGTATTCAACAGCACAGTTCATGTCAGATGTAATTTACAGGGCCTAGGAACAAGAGAGATCAGGAGCAGCAGTCCTTGGAGATATGGAGAACAGGTATGAGAAGGACAATCATTGCAGTCACTCAGGGTATGTTTTTGTGGGAGATGTGGCTTCTTCTAGCTTATACGGTGTGTCAGCAAGTTAATGAGCAATCTCCCTTTTCAGGTGGTAATCTGATAATTTTCTATGTTCTTCTGTCATAGACACAGGTTTCCTAAAGTTCTGCTGTCCACCAGTAACTTCTCCAGTAAGGACAACTCCCTGCTTGTGCAAAGCAAGCAAGCCTCCATGACATAGTGTTTCTACTGCTCTGCCCCAGGATTGCTCACTAGGAAGTTATTTTCCTGACTTGCTGCTTTAACTTCAAACTCAGTGCAGCAGTTTCCTCCAGATCAAAATCTGGGCATTTGATTCTTTTCCAGGTTGCCCCTTTTGCCCCTCATCACTTACCTGACAAGTATTAGATACAGAGTTATTCTGTACTTGTGAAAGTTGGGCAAAACAAAGTGTTAAACAGACAGATTTGTATGTAAATACAATATACAGAGAAAAACCAAGTCCTGTCGTTTGTGGAGCAAGGAATCTGCACTGTTTGAGATGTCTTAGGTGATGGATAGGAGCATGTCGATAGTGAGTGGTGTGCTGTGTTACTCATGCCACATGCTTCTGCGAGAATTCCAAAGATCACTAGGTCTGAGTGAGCAAGCAGCATGCTGTATGTTTTGCCAGGGAACAATGCACTTACCTGTTTCATTTTCAAATGGCTCAAGAAATATGGAAACAATAGTTTTATTTGCAAGTGCTTCAGAGTCGTTTGCAGCCAAAGGAGCAAGAATGCTTTATTTTCTCCCTTCATTTAAGTGGAATCTTTTCAGTATCTTGCACCAGCCGGATTTTAGATGACTCCTGTCTGTGACATCTCTCAATAATAATAATAAAGATCAACTAAAGCAGCAAGTCCTGGTCTAAACAAGAGTGGCAGGATTACGATAATTAGAAACACCTTTAGCTCTTTAACAGGTTTCAAGTGTATTTGGGCAAAAATGATAGAGACTAGCCAAAGTCT